TACACCGTCCGTTATACATTAACGCGGAGGCGAAACGTATTCTGCACTTGCGCACACGCATATGCGCAGTAGTCAAGGTCTTACTCGCACACGTAAAATGCCTGTGCGCATGTGCCAACGCGGTGCATGCGCAGAAAGTTTTTAGCTTTGAGGTCCGGATTATAGATCATTCCGGATTATGGGTGTCCGAATTAACGACTTTTGACTGTACTACACTTAGTAAGGAATTATAAGCCAAATAAAATAAAAAACATCTGCCCTGAAGATAAGGATAGTGCTGACAGATCAACTTCCAATCCGTGGCGTGAAATTGATAAACAGATTTCGGATTTCAAAACATACTTTCGCTTTGCAGATACAAATTACATATTGGTCAATATATATCAGAAATTCTATTTGACATAATCGAAAGTTCAAGCTTACTTTTATGAAATTGCTCTAACAGTCAGCAAAAAATAATAAGCCGGATCCAATTCGAAGATTAAGGAACAAACGCAATCTGCAACATTAACTGAATTAAATAATTTTTGCTTAGATTATACCGTCCGTTACACATTAAATGCGCATGCGCAAAAACATGTTTGCAGCCATAAAGGTCTTACGCGCACTCGTAAACGCCTGTGCACATGCGTGAACGCGACGCATGCGCAGAAAGTTTGCAGCTTTGAGGTCCGGATTATGGGTGTCCGAATTAACGACTTTTGACTGTAATAAAAATCTTTTTTTATTTGTATAAATTCTAAAATCTTTGAAAATACTGAAGCTGTATGAAATACAAATATGAAAGACTGTGATGTTGTTTACAGTTTTAATAACTCCTACAATTCACTGACTGCATTATTATAGCTTAAAATATAAAGAATTTATTATACTATTTCTCTATCTATAGAGAATACATTGTGACGTCACAATTTTAGTCCCACCCATTTATGGACGTCACTTAGCTCCGCCTTAGCTTAATATTTATTTGTTTACGCAACGTATTCTGAGATTTAAAAATCGCCAAGCAGTGGGTTAAAGCACATTTTCACCCTAAAATGTTATGAAATAGTTGGTTATAAATGAAAAAAAAAATGCAGATGACAAAATATCTAAATTTTTGTAGTACGCATTTAAAAAACTACAAAGATCTGATATATAATGATTCAAAAATGTACCAAAAACATACGAAACGCTATATGGATACTGCTTAGCTTAGCAACATTTTAATACTTAAACGCACAATATATATAGGGAAGAGTAGAACTGCTTTTCGATTCATAGTACAATTTTCCATAAAACTCTGTAAGTTTGTTTAAAATGTAACAACCTTCATTCCTCGTGAGGAATATAAATTACTTACACATGAGAACTGTTCCGTTTAGCTTGAAATGGTTTTGTATTCAGGACACGTCGTCTAACTAACTGTTGTGTTAAAAGCCTAACAGTTCCAGATATCATACTTCCTTTCAGAGTACAAATCTCAGTATCATGAGAATTCAATACATATCATTCCGTATTATCCTTTTAACATTGATGACAATACCGTCAATTCACTTCATTTCCAAACTGAATTAACGAGCTACTCAAACATTTATTTCAAATGACTTCTTTCTTTCAAATTCAAACATATCTGTCATAAGGATTAGTTTACGAAGGAAAGTTTACTAAACATACCGAAATTTACTTATTTTTAACTTCCAGTCATACACATTTCTTTAACTTTTATTAATTGCAAACGCTTTCTGTTGCTTATTTGTGTTACTTGAATGTCCTTCATATTTATTGATTTAATTTTTAACTTAATTAAATCATTCGGAATCTTTTTTTTTCAGACTGAAATTTCATATCATAAAAGTAAACAGGTAAGCTCTAGGCAGAATATTTTTCATGCGTTGAACTTCAACTTATCCTATTAGTTGAACCGAAGCGAATGATCTTTTTTGGGGGGCCATTTATTTTAACTTTATTTTGTCCCATCTTTTCTTCCTGGTCTTTTACACTCGTATAAAACGTACGAAGTTCCTTTTTACTCTTCCCTGAAACACAAAATTGCCCCCTTTCCTTCTCACCTTAGACAAAGAATGTCTATGAACAATGACTATTCTTTGCCTTAGCTTGATTTTCCACCCATCGGTTACAGAAAGACTTAGCGGATGCAAAACCAGGGCCGACTAATACTATTTTTCACTTGGATTCAAATTACTATATTTTTGGAATCCTAATCGAGGTAATTGGACGTTTTTTCCTTTTTTCATTTTGTACTGTTACGGTTTAATGTTACAATAGAATCTTTTTCTAATTATTCTTATTGAGTTTAATCAGTTTAAATTTCGTATTATTCCTAAATTCATTACTTTACACGTATAGGCGAATGTATTTTTTCATTTCAAAACTTTAGTTACAGATTTTAAGAATTAACTTTTCTGTTTTTTTTTTATTATTTTTTTTTATATATATGTTTTTATATATTTTTGTTCTAGTGTAGAATTGGGTGCCTCTTCGATTAGCGACAATTTTTTGTAAAATTTTGACAATGAAATCTCATTTCTGGTTACCATGATAGTGTAACTTTGCTTTAGCCTCCTGATTTTTTTAAAATAAAAATGGATTGTTGTGTACATGGACAAATTTAAAGCAGTGCGCAATTCTGGGATTTTTTTTTTTTTTTTTAAGTGAAAACAGATCGATGTACGCAGAGTTTATGCAATTCTTTGACTTTTTATTTTGGATTTGTGTAGCGGCCATCTTGAAATTGTGTCTTTCTGGCGCCGATCTTGGCGTCAAAAAAAATTGCCAAAACACAAGGTGCACCCAGTTGTAAACTTTTACCTATATATTTTTTGATCAAATTTTCATTTATATTTTCATATGGTGGATTACTTGGTAAAATCCTAGTACAGTAGAAGTCCAGAAATCCACAACACTTGGGACCAGAGGTTGTGTGGATTTTAGGATAGAAAAGATAATATTCAGACTAAAAGAGCAAAATAAATAAGGCATATTAGATATATTTTATTAAATTATTATATACATTTATACAATAATTAATTATTGCATTAAATATTATTACATATATAAACTGATTATATTATATTGTTCATTTACATTAGGCTCCTCTATTTTTAAATCAGCAGGAATCTTGTTCCCACATTTCTCTCAGAAGTAGTCCTGAAATAGGTACTCCATCACTCCGCCACTGCCGGAACCACTCTTACAAGACAGCATCGAGGTTTGCCAATTTCCCTTCATGTAAAGATTTCTGGTTTCGGATTCCGGGGATAGAATCACTGTTGCTGTAAAATTTCAACAGCTTTTCTTTTATTGTTCCGTATACAGTCAAAAGTCGTTAATCCGGACTCGTCGGGACTTCGACGATTCCGGATTATCGATTTTTCCGGATTATAGATAATCAGTTTAAATCTCGTAAGATGGCATGCAGAAATTCTAAAATTAAAAATATGAAACCGTAATTTATGAAATAAAGAACAATTATGATCTAAAGGGTATCAAAATTTGCAAAAAGAAAAAGCTTAATATTTATTTGTTTACTTTATTAAACATTTCTTTCAATGTAAGTTGTTTAAGTTTTACTTCGTTTCATGTGATAATACTTTCTCTTTTAATTCTATTAAACAGACAATTCAACATAACAGACATAGTAGCAATAAAGTCAGTTACAAAGTTCCGCTGTTCAAGTCCTATAATTGCTGTGTCGAGAACACCGACTAATTTGTCAATCGAAATTTTTTTGTTTTCAATAACCTCTGTCACTTTCTTCGCTATCGGAAGCGAATTATAATGACGAGGAACTTGTTTTAAATCATATCAAAGACGGAGCACATCGAGATGAAATACTACATTTGGTAAGGAATTATATAGCCAAATAAAATAAAACATCTGCCCTGAAGATAAGGATAGTGCTGACAGATCAACTTCCAATTCATTACACGCCCGCCGCGCCGTTCCCCCCCGCCGAGCAGCGTGAAATTGATAAACAGATTTCGGATTTCAAAACATACTTTCGCTTTCGATCCTTTACATATTAACAAATATATATCGGAAATTCTATTTGATATAATCGAAAGTTTAAGCTTACTTTTATAAAATTGCTCTTACAGTCTGCAAAAAATAATAAGCCGGATCCAATTCGAAAATTAAGGAACAACGCAATCATCAACAGGGTTAACTGAAATAGATAATTAGATAATTTTAAGCTTATACATCCATTATACATAAAACGCGCACGCAAAAATGTATTCTGCACTTGCGCACACTCATATGCGCAGTTCGTTAAAAGGTCTTACGCGCACGCGTAAACGCCTATGCGCATGTGTCAACGCGGCGCATGCGCAGAAAGTTTTTAGTTTTGAGGTCCGGATTATAGATCATTCCGAATTATGGGTGTCCGAATTAACGACTTTTGACTGTATCATACACAGTCCGTGTGGCAATTCCATACTATTCTCTTATAAACCGATCAGTAGCACCTGTTTCCATCTTTAGCAGAATTTCCACTTATTTCATTACCGTCAATGTAACGTGTTTACATTTTTCAACCTTGCAGGCAGTAAAATCACGAGTGCATTTCTTATCTGTCATAGTATTAAAAACCACTGAAATTTAAAATATTCTTAATTTATCCAAAAAATATATGGATAAAAAAAATCACTAAACAATCTCATGAAATAACAAAGCTCAGAAAGTACAACAACATGAATCATGAACTTGAAAGAAGAGTTGAATTAATCGTCTGCTTTTTTACCTCGATGCAGATTAAAGGGAAAAAAAAACTTTTATCATGATGTCAGTAATTTGGTATTTTCGTTATAACTCATTATTATTTGGTAATTATGGCATCATTATCCAGTAAGTATTTTTTCTTCGATATTTCGTATTCCATGTTGCAGTTTCCGGAACCTATAAACTAAATGTTTAAATTTTGAGAGGCAATGCGGATTTTTGGTATTTGACTGTATACCATATGGCCTTGGCACGATTTTGAAAATTGTCGCCATCACCGAAATGACTCAGTTACTGCTCATCATTAATACAAAGAATATGTACATAGGGAACTACTCTTATATGTGCCGTCAGGTCGCCAAATTACTATCTAAATTTGTTGTCTACATTTCGAACTTTAAGGTTAAAATGTCTCCACAAACGGGGTTTTTGCACAGCAGAACCACGTTTTAAACACACAATTTTAGCTAAAACTCCAAAACAAAAATATTAGATAGCAAAAATGCATTAATCTTTGGATTATGGTAACTTGGCAATTTTTGGCGAAAATTTGGCAACCAACCCTGCTACAGCTACCTTCTACTTTTTTTTTCGGCGCCATTTTGTCCTCATAAAGTAAAGAGAGGTTTCTTTTCTTTTTATTTACTCAACATTTTTTCCAACAATCTGCTAGTTGAATTACACCGAAATTTTATGGAACAAAACTGCTTAATCATGACGAATATTAACTGCAAAATTGGGAGAAGTGCAGAATCGCAAACTCCTTGCCACGTTTTTCAGAATCGCACATACACAGTAACCATGTACACATCGACTTATTTTCACTTAAAAAAAACATCCCAGAATTGCACAAAAATGGCATTACGCACACTTGACTTTATCCATGTACACTGCTTTTTTCTCACAAATTAGAAAATGTTGCACGAAAATGCAGGAAAATTTTGTGAATCTTTAAAGTCGGTAAAAAGGACATATATGAAATAACCTGATCACGAAAAAGTATATACCCTTTCCAAGGATGAACATTTGCACGTGTAAATTAAATAAAATATCCAAAAACTTTTCTCTCTAAATTATCTATTATAAACATCACCTGCGAATTTATAACGCAAACATTGAAAATGGTTGCAAATACAGAGTTGCCAACTCTCCCGATTTAGGCGGGAGACTCCCGATTTTCGACCGCTCTCCCGCCAACCTGATTTACAATATATTTCTCCCGACTTTTTCTTATTCTTAATATTTCTCACGATTTTTATGGAACTTGGCTTAATACTTCGTTATATGAACAAAAAAAAAAAAGTGATTCTTCTCTAGATTATATCTAAAATGAAACCTTGCGAATCAGGATGAGAATTTCTGCTTTGTGAGTCGACAGCATACGTATCCAGAAACGTCGTTCTCCAGTTGTCCAATGGGCATCGAGCTCCACTGCGTATCATCTGGCATATATTCGCCAATGAGCACAAAGCAAGCTCAAGGCCATTGGCAAAGAAAATTCTTTGGCCGTTGGGCCGTTATTTCGATGTTCTTTCGCTATTTCGTTCATCTTGTCCTGAGTTGCGTGAGTACACGTGCCTTTGGGAAGAGAGTTTTAGAAATTATCGTCTTTTGATATGTCTGCGAGAAAGGTGAAATACTCGTGCACGTTTCAAAAATCGTACACAGTTGACTTTCCTTCCATTATTTCTTCAAGGAAATGTAATAAATTTGCAAGGTGTACCATCTGTCGTTGCGATTTTTCGATTTCGCTTGGTGGAAGGGCAGATGTTCTCAAACATGTGCGTACACAAAAACACAAGGACAACATGAGTTGTTTTGAAAAAATGAAAAATTAATTTTTTCTTCGGAAACAAAAGACCAAAAAGTGATTAATACAGAATGTCTGTTCTCTGCCTTTTTACTGGAGCACAACCTGTCACTGAATGCATCGGATCACGCTGCAGCTTTATATAGAAAAATGTTTCCCGATAGTGAAATCGCTAAGAAATACTTAAGTGCAAGGACCAAAACAGGTGCAATTGTTAAAGACCTTTCTGATTAAGACAAAAATAAGTTTTATATCTATTTTAGAAGTTACTTCTGCCGAGTACGTGATTGCATACTTCATAAATTTCGAATCAACGATTAAATGATTTTGCATGCTAACGTTACAGATGTTTCTGCTCTAGTAAATGCATCTTTTTCTGATATAAGATATTTCTCGAATATATTTCCAGTCTTACTTCATTTAGTCATGAAAGATGATGTTATAACTGAAAAATTGCAGTAGTAATTTCGCAGTTTACAATTAGAAAACTTGGATGAAGTTATAAAATCAGCTAAGATTGACACCCAGTGGAGGTTAATTGGAAAATTGAAAGGTGCTGATGGAATTTTAAAATATAGTGAACTCTCTAGAATTATGTTGGCCATCTTGACAGTTCCCCATAGTAATGCAGAGTGTGAGAGGATTTTCAGTGTTGTTGCGAAAATGAGGACTAAATTTAGATCTAATATTAGTGATGACACATTAGAAAAACTTTTATTAGCGAAAGCAGGTCTACGTGGCAATTGCTATGAACAAAATTATGAAGTTTCTTTCTTAACGAGAGCAAAATCTGCCACTGTCCGTAACATTTGTATGAAAACTGATTAAAGTGCCTTTTTTTTTTTTTTTTAAACGATGAAAGTAATAAAAATGTTTTTTATGCCTAAGGTATTTTTGTTTTGCTTGCATTTAAGACTTAGTAACTATTTAAAGTTAATTCATTATTAAAAACTATATTTTTATCATTTAAAAAGTCTTTTTAACATTGTGAAAAATCTCCTGATTTTTGAGTGTCATAGGTTGGCAACTATGCAAATACTTAGTGTCAAATATTTAAGTTATTTCCATGCACGTTTACTTTTACTGAAACGTATTCCAAAATGCTACAAACATATAATTCACAAAATAACTATCATTTAATTAAAATATAATTAAACCATGTACACGTCGACCTATTTTTACTTGAAAAAAATCCCAGAATTGCACGAAAATGGCATTGCACACACTCTTGACTTTATCCATGTACACTCCTTTTTTCTCACAAATTAGAAAAATTTGCACGAAAATGCAAGAAAATTTTGTGAATTTTTAAAGTCTGTAAAAAGGACATATATGAAATTACCTGATCGCCAAAAAGTATATACCCTTTCCAAGGATGAACATTTGCATGTATAAAATAAATAAAATATCCAAAAACTTTTCCCACTAATTTATCAATGTAAACGTCACCTGCAAATTTATAACGCAGACATTCAAAATGGTTGCAAATACTTAATGTCAAATATTTAAATTATTTCCATGCACGTTTACTTCTACTGAAATGTATTCCAAAATGCTACAAACATATAATTCACAAAATAACTAACATTTAATTAAAATATAATTAAATTAAAAACACTACTTAAAATATAAATAAACACATACATTAAATTAATAAAAATTAACTTAAAATCTTAATTACTTTAAACTAATTCATTGCTAATAAAAATTTTCCAGTAATAGCATATTAATTTATTTATTCCTTATATTTAGAACAATGCATAAAAATATTATCCTCAAATGATTAAAAATACTAACTTACCTAATCTTCTACAGAATCTTGAGTGCATAGCGGATCACAAAATGTCCATTTTCACCAGATTTTTTGCACCGCCATTCAAACTTATCTGTAATATCCTTCCTTTCACACAATCTCATTTTATTCCCACATGTTGGACATTCATACTTATCTGCAATTAATCCTACACTCATACAATATGTAAGCAATTCTTTTGGATTATCAGATAAACGCAGTAAAAATTTCGAATTCACTTTAGATAGGGCCATGGGATCCAAAAATTAACCAACACTGTTTCATACAACACAGAGTGAAGCTAAATACAAAATCCTATAAAGTACTGCAGATATTTTTCCAAATTTTCCCCCTTTTCCGATTAAAGAGCTGTCATTCGTCCATAAATGTCACATGACATATCTCATGATATCTCATTTCTCTCAGCAAAATAATCCGTAATTGGAACTGGGTACTTCTCACATTATTGCCAAATCCTAGGTAGTAACCTTTATCGCCTACCAAAATGTCGCCAAACTGCCTGTTACCATATTCCAAAGATTAAAGCCAAAAAAATGTACAAGTCTCAATAAATCAAACCAATGAAATAATCATAAAAAAGACATCTACGAGAAACTTAAAAAAACATCTACGAATTGCACAATCTAGGCAGCGAAAGAATCTATGAACTATGCACACCTCGCTTCAATAAATTAACATAACAATAAATTTCAAAGAATACCATGTACACAGCATTCTGTTTAAACTTTAAAAAAAATTTACAAATTGCACAATCTAGGCATTGTGCACAAATCAACAAAATTACAAACAATTCAAATAACAACAGAAATTGATAGTAAAAACATAATGAACTAACATTCTACAAAGTAAAAACAATAAAATAAAATGCACTTACCATAATACATACGTGAATAAAATTTTGCCAGTCACACAACGTCTGAACAAAAAAAGTGGCACGGTTTTGCTGTATCACATGTCTTTCCGTGATTCAAAATTCGAAAGTAACGATGAAAACTTCCTCCAAAGTTAACTTACTGCACGAAAACCACAATCCAAATCTTAAACTCTGCTGACAGCAACATACTTTAGCAGCAACCATTTGACTGCAAACCCACACAAGTCTATCCAGAAGTACCATTCTTCGTTCGAGTTCTCATATCAGCTTTGCATTTTGGACATGCCAAACTTTGTTTTAAAAGTCCTGACTCCCACAGAAATTCCAAAAATGCACTTTTATCCATATAAACACACCTGTGAACAAAAGACTCGTCCACAATTCCAACATTGTACCTTTTAATACTAAATTTACTTTGCACACAGTCTAAAATATGTGACTGAAATCTTGCCACCACGTCTTTCATTGCAACATTCAAAACATGCACGACACGAACCAACGAGCAATTAAACAACTGCAGCAAATGAGTTAAGTTTCAACATCAAAAGAGTTGCCATACAAACAGCATCATCTACCAGACCATCCCACAGCATGGAAACGTGTCAAAAACCAGCACAGAACACATATCGCAACATTTGGTGATCTTAGGGCGCATATAAGAGTAGAGCTATACATAGACATTCTTGATTAACACTAGAACGGCGGGAAAACTTACCTACTGGAACGGTGGTAAAAGGTCATTTTGACCCTTCGATGAAAGTACTGAAATAGCAACTGTAAAACAATTTTAAATGCCATGCATTGGCACAAATACATACTTTATATATATTTCATAATTTATATTTAATATCACATGATAATTTATTGATTTAACTGATAACTGAAACATCAGAGAAATGTTCTCTGATGTTTCAGCTATATCATTATATATGTAGCTGAATGGAATATGTAAATCATTTCGTTTCAATTCTGTTTAATGTTCAAAATATTAGAGATTACACATACATATTAAAAATTAATGCAGGTGATGCAAAAATAATTTTTAACAATTTTTCCAGTGCATTTTCCACACACAACTTTGGAACAAGATGTGCAATATTCTTGAGATTTGTTTCCATTGCATCTCTGTACTTGACACTTTTTTCTCTCTATATCCATTTTCTTTACATGTGTTTTTCTGAAGACTCAGGAAGGATCTTTGGGAGTTTTGAAGCCATATGTACCACTCTTCTAATTTCAGTAGAAATTCTCTCCTGTTAATGGTGTTTCCTATTACACTTTTATAAATTATCCAGGCATTCAAAGCTGCATGATCCAAAATATTGAAAAAAGGTATGTACAGGCCATCATCTAGAAGCCGATGTAACTGAATGTTTTCAGCACATCTGATCACGAATATCCACACCATACTTGTTGAATCTTTGAATTGAATACTTTGTTGCGTTTGAAAATGCTATTGAATTGTGTAACTTCTTGAGACTGTCTTCAGTTTTTACAGTAGAATGTAATAAGCTTAGTAGAAAAAGGCTTTTGTTTCCTTTCCCTTGATAGATGATAAGTGTGATATTATCATGTTCCACTATTGTCTATGAATAAAGATTACTACACATATTTTTCAAAGATATAGGAATTTCTCTTCTGTTCTTTTTCATTGTGCCAACCATAGTTGTATTTTTTGATTTTAGCTTTTCTGATAATTTAATGCTAGTAAAATAGTTATTCGTGGTAATATTCCTTTGTTTAGATGTGGCTCCGTTAGCTGTTTCATCTTTTCCTAGATAAGGAAATCCTTTCAAGAGGTATTTAGTATCAACGTCGACAGATAACTAAAATTTTATTCAAAATTTATCAGGTTTATTAGGCATATATTGTGTAAATCTACACTTAGGTTTAGATAGTAATAATTGTTTATCAACTGTAATATTTTGTCCTAACTGGTAGAACGTTTTGCAGTTTTCAATAAATTTGTTCCACATGTCTGACGCAAGAGCAAATTTATCAGTCTGTAATCGAGTAGATCTTGTTGTCTTTTCATCGAACCTTAAAAATCGTTTTATTCTTTGAATCTATCTCTTGATATAGTTTCTTTGCAAAAAAGTATTCCCTATGCTTCGGACCACAAAGAATATAAATCTAAGCCCTTTGCTCCTATTACTCCTCGAACATACAATATAGCGACAAAAGCATCTAACTTAGCCAGAGGTAACTTCCAGTCTTTATTTCCAAGTTGCCAGTGAGCTTCGGATTCTATACATTTCTTTATTTGTAGCAAGATATCATCATCAATGAAAAGCTTGAAAACACTAGACACTTTGTCCTCAGAAACACGACTCTTTGCAAAAAAAATTGGTCCTGCTGTTTCGTTTAGAACGTTATAAGCAGGAACACGGCCGCGGACTGAATTTTTGGAATTTTTTCATTTCATGTAATGTTATCAGGAGCTGTAAAAATAATTTTGCAAATACCCTGATCCATTTTTGCCCGTTTATTTCTGACGAGTTCTTTTTCGTTTACTTCGCTGTCCTCGGATTCACTAATAGTTTGTGTCTGGAATTCATCTTCAGTTTCTACAGAAAAATTAGAAATTTCATCTCCGTCAGACTCATTTTCAGATAGCTCCTGCAACAATTTTTTAATTTCTTCATCTGTAAGACCTCTTTTCTGCTTATTAGGCATATTTTGTAAAAGTTGAAAAAAGTAGAAAAATACCGGACTATCAGAAAACGATAGGGAATATATTTTAGCATATGATTCTCACAGTGTAAAGGAAAGGTGATAATGAACTTGATGGCAGAATTCATATGTACTGAAATACTGATTTGGGATTACAAAGGAAACATCTATCCTAACTGTTATCTCCTGCAGTAAGTAAGCTGAACTAACAAACGGTAAAATACATCTGTAAAATAAACTATTTTTGAAAAGAAATGTAAACAGGAAAAACCCTGCATCTACCTTTCTTGCAGTATTTTCTTCAAATGAATAAATAACTGCAAACTAAGGAACAGCAACTTATGTAGACATTACATAGTCATGAGACCATCCATGTTTTTATCCCTCTGGGAGATAGAATGAATGCAATCGAAAAATCCTTATCAGTGAATGTTTTTTATGGGTTATTTGACAATGCCTTGAGCAGAAAGAGGGATAAAAGTAAAGGGGTCAAAATGACCCCTGTCTGCCGTTCTAGGAATACATGCCAGTATTTCAAAAACTAACAAACCTAGAATGCTGAAAATTTTTTTACACATATTTGTTATCTATTTTGGAAAATTCAAAAAATTCCAAACTATTTCTTCCAGTAAAACAAAAGTAATCAATGGTCAAAAGTGTCCAGGGGTCAAAATGACCCCTACCACCATTCTAGTGTTAACGAATTACACTCAAGACATCTACTGCAAAAATCCGTGTCAATAAACTACTACTTTTGAGAATAAGTTGAAACTTGTCATATAAACTAATGACACCAGCACCCAGGCGGGAAACATAAAGTTTTGTTGATTGGAGCACTATCTCTGAGTAAGGCTGAGAAATTTTCACCTTACCCTCATACATATTAAGTATGAGCTGAATTATTTTTGTATGCTGAATATACTTCTTTTCTTCCTTGCTTTAGTTCATATGTACTAAGTAGCATGTTTAACCTGCTAAATTTAATTTAATATTATGCTTTTCCTTCTAACTTTAAGCCTAATATCATGTTCCAGCAGTTAACTTTTTGACATTGCTTAATATCATGTTTTTTCATTTAAATATAAATTTAACTTGTGTTTAGAGCAAAGAGAAGGATACCCCTTGTATTATCGCGAAATAGTTGTTTCATTTATCACCAAGTTGTTTCATTTATGATAGCCTGAATAGTTGACATCGCCAACACATTAGTTGAATGTTATAGAAATCCTATTATGGCGTAATCGGTTGCATGATTGTTGTAAATTCGAAAGGGCTCGTGTGTGTATTGGTTAGGAAGCATGTTGTTTGTTTTGTGGTTTAGATGGTAAAATGGCTGAATGTAGTAAGATTAATTTGAAGTTTCTGTGCAATTTGGGAAGAAAGGAAGAACATTACTTGGCTGGTGTGTAAATGAGGGTTTACTTAGTAGCCAGTATTAAGTGTCCTGTTTGTAGGAAGGAAATGTGTATGGTCGAAAGTCGGATGATAAACAGGGCTACAGAGGATATTTTTGACTCTTATTTTGTGAATTTATGTGGCGATGCCAGTATACAGATTCTAGTTCAAATAATTTTAGGAAGTTTTTGGATGTTGTTACGGAATTTTGTTTGACTGAAGACATGTTAATTTGTAAATAAGGTAAATGGACATTTCCTTTGTGTAGTGCAAAGATGAATCTCCTTTTTTATGTCATTTCATTGTTTGATTTAAAATGTAATTTATTAAGATTATATATATATATATATATATATATGAAATGTAGAATCTTGTACGTTATTTGTGTTGTGTAGCCGGGGCAACAGGAATGAGACAAATTTTGGAATATAAAGTGATACGTTTATTTAGGAACAGGGATGCAATTTAGGTAAAGAATCGCCAACACATTATTAAGCAATATGATTAGAATTTAATTTAATCAATTGATTTAAAAATAGCATTACATATATATATATATAATAATTTATTTCCTAAACCGTATTGATTAATTGATTATATTATCTCCTAAGTTTAATTAAAGTAGAATTATTTTAAAAGTGTGCATCCATACTGGTAAGTTATATTTTGAAAGATGTTTTGAAGTAATTTGAAAGCAAAATGTTAATAATGTTTTAACGGGGACTGGAGTTAAATCATCACGAAGAATAATATTACAATTGTAAAAGTAAAAATTAAAACATGTAATTATTGTCATTGATCGGAAATTAGTTGACTTTTCAAGGGGAACAAACCAACTCCCGTTCAATGATCAATAATTGATAGAAATACGTAAATATGAAAGTGTTTTGTCTTTACTCGAGTTATAAATTAAAGCCAAACCGGCAATTCTAGTCAGGCCAAATATTTCCGCGAATAGTTGTTACTCAAAGAACTGATTCTCATGAAGCATTTTAGTCAATTCAATTTGGAGTAAAAATCAATTACTGTAGAGAAATCTTGTAAAACTCGAGTAATCGTCCCCGACACTATCATCTTTATGTATTTGAGTACTATATTATTTGTAGAAATTAAACATTGGAAATTGTCATTATGAAATCGAAATCAAAGTAAAGTTGAAATAAACATAGAAGATTATAAAAAAGATAAATAATGCAAACTTTGCAAAAACAAATCAAAGAGAACATAAAAATAATATAAAAATATATAAAAATAAAATAGAAAAAATATATAAATAAGATCAGTGAATGTACATGAAGATATAAAGGCCAGAAAGGTATTAAGTAACTTACATTCTTTCTAGTGGGGGAGTTGGCAGTGTGTTCTCTTCGTGTCTGACTCAGAAGTGTAGGGTGTCCGAAAATTCTTAGCGGCAGTAGGGGCTTTGAATTATATCAGTCGGCAAGACTTGGGTGAAGAAATTTATGGTAGTGGGTGGGACTTGGAATTCTTGAGGGATGTATTTTGTGGAGTTCTTATCTGAGAGAGACCGTCTGTTAAGATTTTTTTTAAAAATACTAGTGAATGGGAAATTAATTAATTTCTGGCTAATTGTCGTGTTCGCAATGATTAAGAATTTAAGAAAGGAAAAAGGCATTTTCGCTATCCAAGAGCTAGTAGACAGTCTAAAGGCAGGAAATAGGCCCATTTTTTTAGTATAGTAACAGTATATGTCTGAAGACAATTAGCTTTTTACAATATATACAATTGAGTAATTACACTATATACAAATCTTTCAACTGACAGTCATCCAACTTATACCGCCTTCTCAGGTTTAGGAATAAATTATCATATCCCTATCAGTTAAATGATTTAGAGTGAGTATTTAACGCCTGCTCTTTTAAGGCAATGGTTGATAAATTGAAAGGGAATTAGATTATTTTTGAGAATTTTGATAAGGATCAAAATTTCGCGTTGTAAATCTATTGTATCTGTGCATATAGTTTTAATTCGTTGTATTTGATTAATTATAGTATTGTTAATTACTTTTTTGGATATGTTGGAGTTCCAATTTATTAATTTGTTAGTATTGAAATTGAAGTTTCTTGTTTTGTCAAAAAGTAAAATTTTTTTGTAGTTAATGATTTGAAGATCTAGAAAGTCTATGCTATTTTGTGAATTATTAGTTTTATTAAGTTTAAGACAATTCGGATAAATGTCGGAGTTTTCAATTTTACCAAAATTATTAATTGTAATAAGGTCATCAATAAATCTGTAGGTGTGTTTGTAGTAATTTAACTCTTGTGGTTGTAGATTTTTTTGGAAGTTAAATTCTTTGACAAATAAAAAGATATTACAGATCGAGGTGCTGGAATGTAAGCCCATTGGCAATCCTCTGACTTGTTTTTAAAAAGTTGATTTTGAAACTTGATGTAGTTATGAAAAAGTGTGCATTTTAGGTAGGTTTTCCATTTGTCAAGAGTCATGATATTGAGTATATTAGGGAAAAGTTTTGGTAGATCAAGTAGACTGGTATAGATTTCTTCTAGAGGAAGTGAGGTATATAAGTTTTCAAAATCATAGCAGTTAATGTTTTGGATGTTAATGGTATGAATGGTATTAATGACAGGAGTGTTTTATTATGAATGATCCAGCAATAGTTATGATTAGTGTTACAATCATTGAAAATAAATTTACAGATTTTATTAAGTTGAATTGAAAAATAATAGTCTATATTTTTCTTGTAATTATTAGTTCCATTAGCTATAAATCTAAATTTTAATGGTGTTTTATGGAATTTGGGAATCGCATAAAGATTAGTAAATCTGTTGTAGTTTGCATTGAAAGTAATATTGAGTTTCTTATGAAAAGTTTTAATCCTGTTTATTATAGATGTTTCTGTAAGGTTGGCTGATTGATAAGTAGTTGCGTTGAGAAGTTCTTTATGAATAATCTCAGTGTAGAATTGTTTTCATATAATGCTAAAGTTATTAGTTGCTTTATCTATTTTTGTAATAGTAAAAGCTGTTTTAATTTACTAATATCAGATGTAAGTTGCGACCAGTTCAGTGTACTTTTAAATTTGAGGTGACTGATTTCTGTGGATATGCGTTGAAGAATTTTAGCTTTCCATTTTAAGAAGGTATCTATGGGAAAATTCAGTTGATAGCTTGCTTTAACTATAAATTCGTTGATGTTGTTTTTCGAAAGTCTTGTAACAGTAATTTGTAGTCATGTTTCTGACTGGTCTAAATTTTGTACCATAACTCATTAGTGTTTTTAGTTGATGGTTTTGTATGATATTCAGGTTGCCAGTAATTATGTGCTGGTGATGAGAATCTACGTAATTGCTGTAAATTGGTGTCTGCAGGTTCATCTATTTCATGGTGGTTAGTAAGCAAGTTGCTTAAGGTCCTTTGATATTTAAATGCAATCATTGGTATAGTGTCAACTGCGGGGAAGTAATCTTTACAATCTCTGATGATTCTTGAGAAATGAATATTGTCAAACTGCGGATGCAGAAAATTGACTTTAAAATAAATTTTGCGTTGAGTGAGACTATTAGAGAGTCTGAAAAGACTAAAATCAAGAATCATGTCTTTAATGATTTGTATGTCGTCGTAGCTTTCTTGAATGAATTTTTTTAGTTTGATAAGGAATTTATTAGTACAGGAGTGTAACCAGTTGAGAAGTTTCTTGGGAAAACAGTCTGAGTCAAAAAAACATTTCAATTGTTTTTTCAATGCAAGTGTATCCAAAGTGGATAAAAATCTCGCATTATTTTTTATTTTGCTTCCTCTTATTTCTCTCTGCGTTTTGATGCTGTAGAGTTTAAAAAATTGGCTGAAAATAGACTTCTTAGAAGTATCTCTATGACTATGTATATAAGTGTTAAGTCCATATGGATAAAGTGAACGTTGTTTTAGTATATAGAGAGATTCCTGAAAAATTCGTGTTTTGTGATTGGGTATTATATCTAGTATCTGAAGTTGAATAGAGTTGAAGTCATGGTGTTTAAAGTGTTCTAATTCTGCTGTATTAAGTTGTGATGGTGTACTTATTTTAATGTTATTTTTTTGTGCGTTGAATTTTTTGATTTGAGCTCTATGGTTATTGATTCGAAAGTTAAGATTGTTTTTAGTCTGTCCTATATATTTAATATGTCAAGTACCGCATGTAATCATGTAAATACAGTTAAATGTTTTTCATAGAAATTGTTTTTTGGGTTTACCTGTAGCAGGCATGGCGTTAAATTTTCAAGTTTGTCATCTAGTGGAATGACATTTAGTGATTTCAATATGAGTTAAACTAGCAAGATATAAAAGTAAGGAGGCTGCTAACCTTCAATACAGTAAAGTTTTTGTATAAGAACTTTAAAACTTAAAAAGGTTGGAGATAATATATAAAGTGGGTACATTAGGTAAGAGATAAATAGCGCTAATAGCTGCTATTTAGCATATCAAATGTTGTATGAACTTAAATCCATTTAGTGCGAATACAAGTTATTATTACTTGCGCAATTGCTGCAAAGTTAGTTAATAATAATTTATTTCCTAAACCGTATTGATTAATTGATTATATTATCTCCTAAGTTTAATTAAAGTAGAATTATTTTAAAAGTGTGCATCCATACTGGTAAGTTATATTTTGAAAGATGTTTTTGAAGTAATTTGAAAGCAAAATGTTAATAATGTTTTAACGGGGACTGGAGTTAAATCATCACGAAGAATAATATTACAATTGTAAAAGTAAAAATTAAAACATGTAATTATTGTCATTGATCGGAAATTAGTTGACTTTTCAAGGGGAACAAACCAACTCCCGTTCAATGATCAATAATTGATAGAAATACGTAAATATGAAAGTGTTTCGTCTTTACTCGAGTTATAAAATTAAAGCCAAACCGGCAATTCTAGTCAGGCCAAATATTTCCGCGAATAGTTGTTACTCAAAGAACTGATTCTCATGAAGCATTTTAGTCAATTCAATTTGGAGTAAAAATCAATTACTGTAGAGAAATCTTGTAAAACTCGAGTAATCGTCCCCGACACTATCATCTTTATGTATTTGAGTACTATATTATTTGTAGAAATTAAACATTGGAAATTGTCATTATGAAATCGAAATCAAAGTAAAGTTGAAATAAACATAGAAGATTATAAAAAAGATAAATAATGCAAACTTTGCAAAAACAAATCAAAGAGAACATAAAAATAATATAAAAATAAAATAGAAAATAATATAAATAAGATCAGTGAATGTACATGAAGATATAAAGGCCAGAAAGGTATTAAGTAACTTACATTCTTTCTAGTGGGGGAGTTGGCAGTGTGTTCTCTTCGTGTCTGACTCAGAAGTGTAGGGTGTCCGAAAATTCTTAGCGGCAGTAGGGGCTTTGAATTATATCAGTCGGCAAGACTTGGGTGAAGAAATTTATGGTAGTGGGTGGGACTTGGAATTCTTGAGGGATGTATTTTGTGGAGTTCTTATCTGAGAGAGACCGTCTGTTAAGATTTTTTTAAAAATACTAGTGAATGGAAATTAATTAATTTCTGGCTAATTGTCGTGTCGCAATGATTAAGAATTTAAGAAAGGAAAAGGCATTTTCGCTATCCAAGAGCTAGTAGACAGTCTAAAGGCAGGAAATAGGCCCATTTTTTTAGTAACAGTATAGTAACAGTATATGTCTGAAGACAATTAGCTTTTTACAATATATACAATTGAGTAATTACACTATATACAAATCTTTCAACTGACAGTCATCCAACTTATACCGCCTTCTCAGGTTTAGGAATAAATTATCATATCCCTATCAGTTAAATGATTTAGAGTGAGTATTTAACGCCTATATATATATATTGTTGTCTGCTCTTTTGACTTTTTAAGGGAAAATAGGTCGATGTGTACATGGATACAGAGTGTATGAAATTCTTTGTCTTGTTATTCTGGCTTTTTTGACGACAATTTTTGGTGCAAAAATCGCCGTTACACAAGTCAAAGAATTTCACAAACTCAGTATCCATGTGCCGCCAATTTTCACCAAGGGGTACCCGTAAAAATATTTTTACCTAACTTGCATATGCTTAATGCCGTACAACTTCTCCTAACTTTAATTCATATATGCTAAATAATTTATTTAAAAAGCTACATTTGACTTATATATGCTTAATATCATGTTTGAAATCGTTGCTGATGAGCCATTAGTGAATAAAAATACTGTAGTCAACATCTTCTCTGTGAAGAAACCCATAAATATATCCATTTTCTTAATCTGTCATTTAAAAATTATATTGAAACTTATTTGTTAAATATTGATTGAATTTCATATACAGTCAAAAGTCGTTAATTCGGACACCCATAATCCGGAATGATCTATAATCCGGACCTAAAAGCTACAAACTTTCTGCGCATGCGTCACGTTGACGCATTAATTATAATTGCGCATAAGACCTTCACCACTGCGAATTTGCATGTGCGCATGCGCAAAATACGTTTACGAATGTGCGTTTAATGTATAACGGACGGGATAAGCTAAGCTAAAATTATCTAATTATCTATTTTCGTTAATATTACAGATTGCGTTGTTCCTTAATCTTCGAATTGGATCTGGATTATTATTTTTTGCAGACTGTTAGAGCAATTTTATAAAAGTAAGCTTGAACTTTTGATTATGTCAAATAGAATTTTCCGATATATATTTACTAATATGTAAAGGATATACAAAGCGAAAGTATCTTTCGGAGTCCATTAAACAAAAAGTGGAATTGCTGCAAAAAATGGATAAAAGCATATCCTTTGTTTATCTAAACTTTAACGTTTGTTTATCTAAACTTTGTTTATCTTTAACGCCGCAGCGCCGTGCAATGAATTGGAAGTTGATCTGTCAGCACTATCCTTATAATAATGTCTTATAATTGCTTATTCAATGTAGTATTTCATCTTGTCTTTGATATGATTTAAATCAAATGCCACATCATTATAATTCGCTTCCGATAGCGAAGAAAGTGACAGAGGTTATTGAAAATGAAAATATTTCGATTGACAAATTAGTCGGTATTCTCGACAGCAATTATAGGACTTGAACAGCGGAACTTTGTAACTGAACAAGAAATTATGTCTGTTTATAGAATTAAAGAGAATGTATTATAACATAAAAAACGAAGGAACTTAAACAACTTACATTGAAAGAAATGTTTAATAAAGTAAACAATTAAATATTAAGCTTTTTTTTGTAAATTTTGATAACCTTTAGATCATAATTGTTCTTTATTTCGTAAAATTATGGTTTCATATTTTTAATTTTATAATTTCTGCATGCCATTTTACCAGATTTAAACTGATGATCTATAATCCGGAAAAATCGATAATCCGGAATCGCCGAAGTCCCGACGAGTCCGGATTAATGACTTTTGACTGTATTCATTTAATCTTTTTAATAAATTTAGATGTCTGATTATAGTTTTGTATTCAGTTTATTAATGCCTTTTTTTCTCCTTTAGTAACTACCAAGAAACAGTATGAAACCAAAATCAAAGCTTCATACAAGTATAAAAAATTTGGTTCTTGCTAAAGCAGCCCAAGCATGTACTAGGAATAATAATACAGTGCAAGATCTGAATCTTGGAGAAGACAATAACATAAATGAAACAGTTCTTCGGAAAGCAACAGAGGCTGATAAAGAAAGAAAGCGTGAAAAAGCTCGGTTAAAGAGACAACGTAAAAAAGAAGCAAGAGCTAAGAGTATAAAAAAGGATGTGTCTGAGGCCAAAAAATTAGCTTTGAATTATCTTCACGAATGGAACACTTCACGGAATACATGGAGCTTCAAAAAGAAGCAGCAGTTCTGGTTACTTAGCAATATATTTAATATTAACACTGTAAGTTAATTTTGTTTTAATAAGTCTTTTATAATCTGAAATTTTGAGTAACCATTTTAGGTGTTATGATTGTGTGCGTAATGAACAACCATTCAATTTTCTGAATTATTCTTTCTTTTGAAAGTAGAGGAGTAAATTAAAATTGTGTATGCAATTTAGTAATTGTATATCTAATTATATAGTACAGTCAAATACTGAAAATCCGCTGACCTGAAATCTGCCAACTCCTGAAATCCGCGTTGCATCTCAAAATATAAACAATCATTTTATAGGTTCCGGAAACCGCAACATTGCGTACGAAATATTGAAGAAAAATACTTACCGAATAATGACATCATAATTACCGAATAATAATGAGTCATAACAGAAATGCCAAATTATTGGCATCATGATAAAAGTTTTTTTCCTTCTAATCTGCATCGAGGTAAAAAAGCAGACGATTCACTCAACTCTTCGATTCACGTTGTTGTATTTTCTGAACTTTGTTGTTTCACAAGATTTTTAGTGTTGCCTTTTTTTTTAATCCGGATATTTTGTGAATAACTTAAGAATATTTTAAATTTCAGCCCTTTTTAATACAGTGACAGATAAGAAACGCACTCTTGGTTTTACTGCTTGCAATGTTGAAAAACGTAAACATTGATGGTAGTGCAAATTCTGCAAAAGATGAAGGCAGGTTCCACTCCTCAGTTTATAGCAGAATCGTATGGAATTGCGATACGATTGTGTATGATATATGGAAAAATAAAGAAAAGCTGTTGAAATTTTACAGCAACAGTGATTCTACCACCGGAATCCGAAACCAGAAAACTTTGCATGAGGCGAAATCAGCAAACCTGGATACTGTGTACATATAATACAATGACTAATATAATCAATTTATATATGTAATAATTATTTAATGTATATAATAAATTATTACAATAATGTATATAATAATTTAATTAAATATATCTAATATGCCTTATTTATTTTGCACTTTGAGTCTGAATATTATGATTTTCCTTTTCTGTCCTGAAATCCGCACAACCTCTGGTCCCAAGCTTTGCGGATTTCTGGACATCTACTGTATTTATAATATAATATGGGGGTTACCTGACACATTGTTTTATTATATGTACATATATATTCAGTATAAGAAAAGCTTGCAAAAATTTGGTGTAACTTTAATCATTCACTTCGGGTTAATTTGCTGGCAATGAAATGTATTGATATAGATTTCCAAACATCAAAAGTGGGCACCATAAGTAAAAATAAGCAAAAAATTAGCTTAGAGAACTCAAATTAACTTCAGAAAAATTACGTGCTGCACTAAAGATAAACAAAAAACAAAAAAAAAAAAAAAAAAAAATGCTGTCATACATTGAAATTAAAATGCTATAAAATAGTTTCACAAAATAATTGCTTCTAATTAAAAATCATTCCTGTTGCCGCTATAACTGCATTGAAAGAATTTTCATCTTCCAGGTCTAACAATATAGGAACTCTGTTAAATATGTGTCTAGGTGCTGCTCTCCAATACTTTCCTGTTTCTTGTTGCACTATTTTATGCAGCTCCAAAGCCTTTCAGTGTTTTGAATGTATGTCCGAGTTAAATTAACCAAATCAGATTTATGATTTACAGTTTGATAGAAGTTCACAGCTTCTAATAATTGCATTGAAAAATCCCGATTTGTAAATATTGTTGAATTTTGGGCTGTACTGTCCATAATTACCTACATCAAAATATTTACAGCTTGTAAACTGATAAATATTAAAAAATTTCACTGGAGATATTTAGGTGCTACTTTGGTAGACGGTTGCACGGATTTTTGGAGATTTATGTTGGCACTGTTTTTACAATCGTCAGCCATCTTGAAAAACACTGTTTTTAAGTATTTTATGCATAGTAAAGTATTCGAAACTTTAAAAAATAAATATTGTAAAAAATAATGGATTAATTTTTTGTTGCAAATGTCGTTTTTTAAGATGGCAAGCAAATGTAAATAAATACATTTACTATGATAATAAAATACTTAAGTAAGGTTAAATTATTACTTTCATATTGCAAAGAAATAGAATAAAAACATTGCACAAATGTTTAATTGGATTAAAATATTACTTAAATTGAATTATAAACATCACACAAATGTTTAAAAGAATTAAAATATTACTTAAATTCAAATCCTTTAAAATAAGTTTATGATATTTTTAACGTTAAAACATATGTGGCAATAAATATCTCGGCAATTTTTGAAAACAATGTGTTAATTTTTTAAATAAAAATTGAATTATACAATTATAAAGATTGCGTTGTTCCTTAATCTTCGAATTGGATCCAGCTTATTATTTTTTGCAGACTGTTAGAGCAATTTTATAAAAGTAAGCTTGAACTTTCGATTATGTCAAATGTCAAATAGAATTTCTGATATATATTTACTAATATGTAAAGGATCTACAAAGCGAAAGTATGTTTCGAAGTCCATTAAACAAAAAGTGGAATTGCTGCAAAAAATGGATAAAGGATAATGGATTTGTTTATCTAACCATTCTGAAATCTGTTTATCATCAATTCACGCTGCTCTGCGTGTATGGGGGGGGGGGGGAACGTTGTGCCGCTCAATGAACTGGAAGTTGATCTGTCAGCACTATCCTTATCTTCAGGGCAAATGTTTTTATTTTATTTGGCTTGTAATTCCTTACTAAATGTAGTATTTCATCTCGATGAACTCTGTCTTTGATATGATTTAAATCAAATTCTTCATCATTATAATTCGCTTCCGATAGCGAAGAAACTTCGAAAATGAAAGAATTTCGATTGATAAATTAGTCGGTATTCTCCACACAGCAATTATAGAACTTGAACAGCGGAACTTTGTAACTGAACAAGAAATTATTTTGTCTGTGTATAGAATTAAAGAGAAAGTATTATCACATGAAACAAAGCAACTTAAACAACTTACATTGAAAGAAATGTTTAATAAAGTAAGCAAATAAATATTAAGCTTTTTCCTTTTGTAAATTTTGATACTCTTTAGATCATAATTGTTCTTTATTTCATAAATTACGGTTTCATATTTCTAATTTTACAATTTCTGCATGCCATCTTACCAGATTTAAACTGGTGATCTATAATCCGGAAAAATCGATAATCCGGAATCGCCGAAGTCCTGACGAGTCCGGATTAACCCCATTAGCCGCTGGTGTTGCGTTGACGCAATGGTCAAAATCAATAGGTATATAAATATAACTACCTAAGATATTTTATACCAGCAAAAGATTTTGTGTAGGAAACATTATGAAGATTATTTCTGTAAAAAAATATTTGCCTTCAACAATCATTTTGTTTATAATAATTAATCTCATACTTTAAGCAAAATTTTCGACCGGGTATTTTTGCTGAAAATATTTAACGAAAGAATCTCTGTCTTTATGAGTGATCTATTTTTAGTCAAGGTCACCGTTTATCAGAACATTACATCAGTCAGATGTTTATATTTGTGTTGGGAAGAAAGGAAAAACAGGTGTTGCGTTGACGCAACGTCAGCAGGAAACAGGTAGTCAATCTCCTTTATCACTCATTCCTTTCGATGTCTGGTTGTTTAAAAATGCCTAGAACGAGGTATCTTACATTAGAAGAAGCCCTTCAAAGATTTTTTGATGAAGAAACAGATGATGATAATGTTAATAATGACCAGAATGAAACTGATATTGTTGTTGTTCCCCCAGAAATTGCAGAAGCTGGTGACAAAAGGAAAGGAACAGCAATGTTTTAAGTAATGATAATGATATTTTACCAAATGATACTGCTGGGGAAGTTGAAATTCACGTAAGAGATAAGTTTCAGCCTTCTAAAAGCAGTTATAGTCATACTAAAAAGTTTAAAAAGCAGAAGACTGAAAGCTTGAAGTGGATAAAAAAGGATTTGTTAGTTATGCCTCAGGAAGAACATAAAGAAAGAGATAGAAGAGAAATTATGAAAGACAAAATACAAGGTAAAACTAGTGCGATTTTCAATTTTCTTTTTGGTTTAGACATTTACTCTTTTCTCGTTGAACAGACACATATATAAACTCAGGGGGGGGGAAACAGAATTTATTGCATCTGAAGCTTATATGAGAAGATTTATTGGAATATTATTGCTTACCGGATATCATTCTTTACCTCAAGAAAAAAATGTATTGGTCTTTTGATAAGGACATTTCTGTTCCTGTTGTACGAGAATCGATATCACGTTTGCAGTACAGGAATATGAAGCAGAATTTGCATTTGACAATACTGATAAATTATATGAGGTGAGACTGTATCCAAACTTACTAAATATCAGCACTTTTTAATACTGGAAATAAAAAGTCTCTTTTAGATTTCAGACACGAGAATGCATTATTCCATTTGCAAACTCCTATTGAGAGTGTAGAATTAGCTAGAAATAGATCAGCAACTGGAAGACCTAGTAAATTCGGCATTCAAAAACCATTGAATGGAGATGGTAGACATTTTATCGTAAAGTCCGTTGATAAAAAAAGACTTTGTTGTAAAGAGTATCATAGCCAGACTGTTTACAGATGCAAATTATGTAATGTAGCTTTACATCATGATTGTAATCAAGCTTTTCATGCTTGAAGCTTTCAGTTGTAATAATCTGTATTTGTAAAAGAAATACAATGTATATTTTAATATTAAATTAATTACAAGTGGACTAGAAGGACTAGAAGAAACTAGGCTTCGGGAATTTCACTTCACACATACTGAAATTAATGAGTTGGTTTTGCTTACTAAAGTTTCTCTAAGTCAAACCCACTTTGTTTTCCAAAATGCATATTTTCGTCAAGTTGAAGGATTGGCTATGGGTAATCCTCTCAGTCCGGTACTTGCTGACATTTATATGCACTATTTTGAGATGAAATTATTTGATAAATTATCTTTTCGTCTTTGGATTCGGTATGTTGACGACACTTTCGCCCTTTTTGACGGTTATAAAGAGGATTTATCCGAGATTCTATCTATTGTGAATTCAATTG